TTCCAAATATTTAACCCTGTCTGTACTGTGCTGGCAGATTTCATTATCACTTGAAAACTAGATGAGCAGGACTGTCTGTCCTAACACAGGGTTAAAGACTTGAAGACGTATGTTTATAAACGTAAATAAAACTGTCCCTCAGTCAGTCCCTTATCAGCTCACAGGCATCTATTCTGACCACTAGAAGCTGCCTGATAAGTCCTGTTTAACCCTGCCCCAAAGAAATAGCTGAAAAGGTAAGAATTAAAAAAATATATATTTATAGGTATGCTGTGTGAATTGGAACACATAACAAACAGAGGTGCTTTTCTCAAAGTTGGCTGCAAATATGGAAATACCCTTTAAAGGACTGGGATCCAAGATCTATGTCAACTCATGAGAGTGGTATCGCCACGATACCCAGTATAAAGATAACATTCTGTGGGGTCATTGGATCCTTTTTATGTAATCATCGGTTCATAAAAAACCTTACCTCCTCCTAAAGTGGTAAACCTTTGGACCCTACACCCCGCCTGAGGGGGCAATATTATGGTGTCATGGAGACTCCTCGCATTTAAAAAGGTGTCTAGTGCAGTAGATGACTTATTGTCATTGCTTGTGTCCTCATTATGCTACTGGGGTGTGCCCGCCGCACTGCGCCCGTATCCTCACAGTCTTTCAAAACTACTTTCTAATCTCTCCCCCATCCTTCCCCCTGTTCACTCTCTTGCTAACCACCCTTTCCTCTATTTCTTTTCCTTATACAGCATGCTGTCATGGGACCTGCCCATTCGTCATGGGAAGTCCCCAAACAAGTAGACTTATGAGGACCACATGTCACCTGTTTAACATGTTTTGTTACCATTATACATTGTGTCAAAATGTATGTAATGCTCGAATCAAGATGTCACCAGCACGAGAATTCCAGATTAGTGCAAATCCATTTATTGATAAATGTCACTCAAATGACAAGTGCGTTAGAGGCCGGACAGGGTGCCCTTCATCATCTCTGAGCCTGATGAAGGGGACGCTGCGCGGCCCTGAAAGCGCTTATGATTTGAGGGACATTAACAATAAATGGATTTGCACTAATCTGGAATTCTCCAACTCGTGTGCAGGTGTCATCTTGATTTGAGCTCTACTATTTGCGGTGCCATCCGCAGTCATTACGAGAACCCGTTAACTTTGGGATATCCAATAAAGGAGTGCTGCAAGACATATGGACACTGTTAAAATGTATGTAATGAACACCGCACTATCTGTATTGTCTGTATGTTCTTAGTCCTTATTTCCTTAATAAACTTGAACTCTGACATTGTTTTAGATTTAAAATTTATAAACATACAAATAGTTTACAACCATGTATTTTATTTTGCAGCATTTGGATTGTCTTTTATATCATTAAAGATCTTCTTACTGTTAAAATATGACTATATATTTTTTTCCATAGTAAAATCATATAAAAGTTCTGGGCAATAAATGCATCAGGGAGTATAAAATGTCAATAGTGTGTGATTTCTTGAATGCCGCATATTATGCGCCTTTAATTCCACTTTCATTAGGAGCCGAGCTGATCAGGCCATAGCTATTTAATGTTCTGCAGCTTTGCGGTTCGGCAGATGGACTTTCAGTTTAGGTGACGGTCTTTATAAAAATTAAGGCACACTTTCATTAAAAGAAGAAGATCCCAATATAGAGAACAAGGTCAATCAATCAGTGATAAACTTGGGAGTACAGTTCTGATTAGTGCAACATTGCATATGGTCTTCGGCAGTTTTCTATCCTAATTTCCTTCATGATCAAAAGGACACTTGCCAACCTCTATGCTTTCAACTGGAACTACAGGGAGAACAAGGTGGGAAATACGGCTCCAGACCCCACCCAGCTTATCACTATCCATCTCCATATGTGATCTTAAAGTGCTAGGGCTAATAAACTGCTGCCAGAGGAAGTCCCGGACTTTTTCTTCCAGCTCCGGGAGAGAAATGTCTGGCTCAAGTGATGAATCTTCCAGTAGCACAGTGAGCACAAGTGCCACATTCTTGTAGGCAGCATTCTCATGATCACAATATTTGTAGAGGATGAGCAAAGAGCCAGGAGGCAAGGTTTCTAAACGATTTAATACGGCTGCCCGATATTCTGTCTGAAATCCTGAGCTGAGTTTCTCATCAATGTGGAGTTTGGCTGTACTGTCATTATATTCGGATTCAGATGGACCATGGATCACCAACCACCTGGCACTGTGGGCAGCAGCATAGGCTTGTGCTAGACCACTACCTAAACAGAGTAAGGTGTGTTTGGCATCTTGAGCCGCAGTGAGAATGATCGTAGCCGGTTCACGGGGTTCGGATTTGTTGAGATGATTTCTCAGCATTTTTTCACTTCTCAACCACAGGTCCCGACTCTGCTTCGGAAAATCTTTTTGGAGGCTTTTAAACTGATCCTGGAAAATCTGTAGCGCTGATCTGGCGTCTGAAGTCTGTGTTCCATGGAACTGAGGGAAATATAGACCAAGCCCAATAGCAATAAGAACTACAACAGCTGCAGCACCTGCAATATAAATAAAGATACCTTAACACCAGTGTTGTTTATCAGATTTCTTCAGGGAAATGCGTGCAACAAATTGAACAAAACAGAATTGCCTTCAGTATAGACCGGTCGCAGAGAATTATATTTGCAATGTGAAGACTAGTGTCTCAGTTCATTACAAAGTAATTAAACGGGACTTGTCATCTTTAAAAATAGGGCCGCATTTTACATAGTACAGAAGAGACCCGGACAAATGTAAATGTTGTTTTGAAAAATCTGGAACCTAAAACCCACAGCTGCCACATAACCCAAATGAAAGTTGTGTCAAATGCTCATTGGGCAGGGTTTTTGGGTTATTTACTCTGTATTCTTTCTCACTTTAAAAAGCATTCTAGAGAACTACTTCCCTTTACAAAAACTGATTATTTAAATGAAATGCTCCTGTATGACAGTCTAAACAAGTACCGAATCCAGTTACTATGCGATGCACAAGCTCCATAAAGCAAACTCAGTGACTGAGCCAAACCTTCCATTTGTCTCTCATTCCCCCTCACCTCCCCCAAACACAGATTCAGCAACAAAGGCAGTGCTGTCGATCCAGAAAGCAGTGGGCATGACTAGGTTCGGCCGGATACTGACTGACAGGGTTAAGACTTGAGAATCAGCGGTGACAATACTGATAGTCATGTTCCCTGCAACATTTTTTCATCCCGCTATAGTGCAAGTACGGTCTACATAAGAGTGGCAACGTCGCTCTGAATTCAAGAACAGTGCAGCATCCTTAGCACCCCATAACAGATAGCTGCATTAGGTGGACTGCAGTGGCAGGCTGAACAGCTATATGGGGTTCAACCATTCTGGAGAGGGGTGCATGGTCTGATTTGTCAAATTATAGGGACAACCTTGGAGTATACCCCCTGGGTTTTTTTTTGTTACATCTCCCAGACCAGGATGAACTAGGCTCCACTAAAACCCTGCCAACACCTAATTAATGCAGCTAGGTTACTCACACCACGGCTGTGGGGGGACACCTGAGCCCCCACAATTTTGGAATGGCTTAACCATGTGAAACATCTTTGCGAAATGGTAGAACTTCACTCTGGGCACCATGGATGCTGTTCACATGCAGTGTGGAATATGATAACCTTAAATCTAATTCTTTGAAGGTTTGATTGCAATTACAGACTTTTTTTTCTAATGGTCTGGGTGGGACTAGATCCAGTGCTACCTTAAGAGGTGGGGCCGACATTGTTCCCCAGAGAGGATTTCCATCTTTTTCTTTTGCCCTTTCCCTTTTTACGGATACTTATCCTAAGCTTACCTTAAACTTTTCCTTCCGTCCCCCTAACCTATTGTGCTCCCTTTTACCACTACCTTACGCTAAGGTGGTCAGAACATGAGTCACCCTGCTTCAGTGTGCCTCAAGTGGTTAGAGGGTAATTGTAATGGTTTTTGTACCCTTCTTTGTCCATTCTATTAAAGTCTATGTTTGATGTATTGAATATGCAGTATTGCTTGGCAGTGACCCCGGAGACTGTTGATTCATTATACTACACTCTAGGTTATCATTAGACTAGTCCATGCATGCGTGTGAGATGTCATTGCTTAAACTCCATGATGCTGTATGAAACTTTTTATGTCCACATGGAAGATGTTTCCATGATTGATACTGCTTTATTCTACACCCTCTTGTGTTTGTTTATATGTTTCTTTAATAAAAAAATTGATATGTAAAAAAAATAAAACAGGTATATTGGGGGACTTCTCAGGGGAAACTAAGGGAAAACTCTAAAGAAAAAATGCACTTATAATTAAGTGCTTATAATTTTTGTTTTAATGGGGGTCAACAGTTCTACATTAATGTAATGTTTCTGTATTATTAGCAACTGCTACCAGTAAAAAAAAACAAATTTAAAATATAAATTTTAAGAAACATTGACTTTTACCTAGTATTCCGATATTCACAACAGTTGGCTCTGGCCTCTGAATCTCTGTCTGTGTCGGCTCTGGATCCTCCTTCCGTGCAGCCTCGGGACCCTCCTTCCGTGCTACCTCGAGACCCTCCTTCCGTGCAGCCTCGGGACCCTCCTTCCGTGCTGCCTCGAGACCCTCCTTCCGTGCAGCCCCGGGATCCTCCTTCCGTGCAGCCTCGGGACCCTCCTTCCGTGCAGCCTCGGGACCCTCCTTCCGTGCTGCCTCGAGACCCTCCTTCCGTGCAGCCCCGGGATCCTCCTTCCGTGCAGCCCCGGGACCCTCCTTCCGTGCAGCCCCGGGACCCTCCTCCCGTGACAGCACCATATCCACCATCAAATCATCCTTCTGCTCCTTCAGGTCTGCCCTGGAATCGTGTCCTCTAGACTCTGGCCTCTCCTGCTGAGCTGGTTCCAGGTCCTCCCCCTGGTCCTTCTGGTCTGCCTTCGACTGTCCTCTAGACTCTAGCATCTTCTGACGGGCCGCCTCCGGACTCTCCTGACGGGCCGCCTCCGGGCTCTCCTGACGGGCCGCCTCCGGGCTCTCCTGACGGGCCGCCTCCGGGCTCTCCTGACGGGCCGCCTCCGGGCTCTCCTGACGGGCCGCCTCCGGGCTCTCCTGACGGGCCGCCTCCGGGCTCTCCTGACGGGCCGCCTCCGGGCTCTCCTGTCGGGCCGCCTCCGGGCTCTCCTGTCGGGCCGCCTCCGGGCTCTCCTGTCGGGCCGCCTCCGGGCTCTCCTGTCGGGCCGCCTCCGGGCTCTCCTGTCGGGCCGCCTCCGGGCTCTCCTGTAGGGCCGGCTCCGGGTGCACCCTCGGCTCTTTCAGGTCTCTAGATTCCTCCTGGTTGGATCTCGACAATATTTTTTGTCTCTCCATTTCTTCTGCATTAATGTTTGATACTGAAGGCACATTTTCATTGTCAGCAGTTTGAGTTGTGTTTACAAGAGGTTGTTCTTTCTTGTTTAGTTGATTTTGGTCAGACATATTGAAAGAATAATGTGTCGCCGATGAGATTCCTGTGTGGATTTGTTTCCAAACTGAGTTAGCAGTTTCATTAGATGTTTAATTGCACTTAGTGTTGATTCTTATAGTGACTCACATTAAAAATCATTTCCAAAGAAAATTTGATTACATTATCGAAAAGGTACACTTTCTGGACGGTCTGTTTATTCTACATGTTCCAAGAAATACTTCAAAGTTTAGGTTCTGTAAGGCTTCTCCGATCTAAGTGATCCTCATGTGTGTGAAAGTTCTCTTTTCATACTGATATCTGTTAGGTAAAAGAATAAAAATTTAATGTGAGGTAAAATAGTGATGAGACTCCATAACGTATCATAGACTGATGCAATACTAGTATACTGTATACAACACCCAGCGCTACAAAAACAGATAGGAAGTTAAGTGAAAACTTGTCAGCCAATTAATGACGGCAGCCCATAAGCAAAGGTATTTCTGCTGTCAGAATACAACAGCCAGCAGGGAAAAATATTCCATGCATGATCTTTAATGAGGATGGGGCTGAAGAAGAATATTCTTAAGGTGTACAGTCAGCGAAACCTACAAGTAACGTGCTTATGATGCCCCTGCCACCCCTATGTGACAGCACTGAGTACCTGAGCCCCCGCTCACAAAAAGGGAGGTAAGCAAGTCTCACAATCCCCTATATAACTAACAAGTATTGTATTTGACTCCCAGCAGTCTAGCAGAGCAGCAGAAGAGCCAGGGGAAAATTAGAGTGTTCTGCTAGTGGGGCAGCAAAAATGTGAAACAGTTGCTTTGCCTAACATGGACTAAGCACATAGTCACCTTAAAGGGAAACTCCACTTTACAAAAAAAATCATGTCACAAAACAAAAGATTATAGGCTATATATGTACCACACAAGCCATATATACGGTTATTAAAAATGACATTTCCATTTAAAACAGAAGAGGGGGGGGGGGGGGCAGCTCCCTGGAGCTCTTAGCCATAATGTGCTAGTATGCACAGCTAGTGCAGGTTCCATAGCCCCGCATTAGACATGAGGATGCCAAGGGACATTCCACCAGCCACAGAGTAATAGAGAGGTGAGTGCTGATTGCCAGGGGAGCAGCAATCAGGCAAGATAAGTGCTTGGTTTGCCCTGAGATAGGCTTTAAAGTTGATCTAATGTAGTGCTCTAGAAGTCAGGGATGGACAGACTTTGTTCCCCTTATCTCCAACCGGCAGCACAGTTTGATAGCATTAACTTTTGCTCTGCCTACTGTGAAATACAACTCTGATATCTATATGGGCTTGTAAAAACCCAGTTGAAACACAAACTTGACAGTAGTTAATGAAGATCTAAACCCAATCACTAACATTTCATATAAACTTCAATATCATAATGTAATTCCAAAGGTTGCTTTCAAATCATTTTAGAACAACAAATTCCTTTAAAAAAAATACCAGGTGATCCTCCATGAAGGCACATCTTAATATTGGATGACAACCGTGTCCCAAACGTGCTCCTGAGTTGTCACCCTATGACATGCACCCCTCAATGAGACTACAAACAGCCTTGCTGACACAAATTGAGCACGCATGGTTCACTGATGTTTATTTCTGGAAGCCAGCCCAGAGCAACAGTATGCAGCTTACGCTGAAGAAAATGCATATAGACAAGGATGAAAAAACAGGTGACAGAATATGTGATACATAATGCTTTAGCAAAAATGTAATCTAGCTAAAATTCAGATCAACTTTAAAGCCGAACTCCGGGCACAAGAGTATCACAGCAAATATAATTACTGTTGGCAAAAAATAAACCTCCCATCCATCTGACTTTATTCTAGAGCTCTCAATCCTTCTCTTCTACATGCTGGAAGTACAGCTCACACTATACTTTGGAACCTGATTGGATGCAAGCATTGCAGGTCTCATTAAGCTCAGGGCTACTGACACATCTCCACCCCCATCACAAAATGGAGCCAGCTCTGAGGAAGGGGAAACTCCCCGAAAACACGTTCAGCTGAGTCAGCTTGTTTCTGCTGGTCTAGCAGCATATTTGGATTGTTTTCTCTGACTGCTAGGAATCTGCATGTATCCTGAGATTTATGTCCAACATGCTTTTTATTCACCTCTTTGTGAGTACCATTTATCACTTTCAATCTTTCTAAACAAATAAAAGGATTATTTGCACCAGGAAAGGCGCCCGGTGTTTCTTTTTCTTTTTTTATACATCACAAAATGGAGCCTGTGTGTGTTTTGTGAATGTGCAGGAGGGGAGGGGGCAGAGATGTGAACTTAGCATTAAGGCCTATAAGACCTGCAGTGCTTGCATCTGCAATGGGAGCTGTACTTCCAACTGCATGTTAAAGAGCAGATCTGACAGCTCTAGAATAAAGCCAGCAGGTTTGTTTTCTGCCAATGGAATTTTTATCTCCAGTGATAGTGGTGAGTTTTTTGTGCCCGGAGTTGGGCTTTAAGGCCCAAATGAACTTTCAGTTCAAGATGGCTAAATATACTCCAAGTACATAAAAAGATAAGCTCTATTCATTCTTACCATTTATTTTCATTAGAAAGCAGCCACGGGCTGAGTACAAAAAGCCTGTTCCCTGCCAGGGACTCTTGTTCTCTGCAGAAGCAGCAGTCTCTCCACAGAGGTCTGGCCCCCCCCCCCCCTCGAGTCAGCCCTATAGCTCTGCAATCATGCTTCCTGATGATTGGAGATCGCTACGCCCTCTACATTATATTATGCTGTGGTAAACACACTGTAGCCTACATTTTACTGCCCATTCATTAAATGCAGGCTGGGGTGTGTAGCCACTGATGCTCCAATGAGTTTTCTCTGCTTAGCGCAGCAAAGAGAGCATCGTTGGAGGAGAGCCAGTCATGTGACCAGTAGGTCACATGAGCAGGCTCTCCTGGCTTTTTTGGTTCATTAATTTCTAATGTGCTCTGCTGGTTTCAGACTCAGTGCCATTGGAGCTCAACACACATTTGTAAAGCACACTACTGCGTTTTTGTTTTTAATAGAGACTTTTTATATCGCCCCCCCCCCCCCCCACCCCCC